GTACAAGAACACGGTGCGGAGGGGGGAAGGGGACGAGGGGCAGCGGGGGGACACACAGACGCTGTTGAATATCAACAACACTAAGGGGGGGGGGCGCGGGTGGGTGAGGACTAAGCATAGAGATCCTCCCGGTCGGCGGAGTAAACCTCCCCCTCCTGCAGCAGGGCGAAGTTGAGGAAGTGAGAAGGGCGATGGACCTCGTGGTAGAACTCCTTGGGGTTGGCGAGCTGCAGCTCGTACTTCATGTTGGGGTCGTGGCGAACACCTGGGAGAGAGAGGCCATCATCCCCCTGCACACCCCCTGCCTCCAGCCCTCCTCAGGAACCCTCTACCCTCACAAGGTAATTTTTAAGCAAGAACAAGAGAATTCTAAAGGCATAAATTCATCACCCTTTGGGTTCCTGCCCCTAGAGATTTACAGAGCAACATCCCCAGAGTCTTGCTCAGCCAGCCAAGGGTTCTGTCCGCCCCTCTCCTCCATTCCTGATCCCTTCTGCTGCTGTCTGTGGTTCATCGTACCAGCACAGCTTTTCTCTTGCATTTTCCATTATCACCTCTGCTGCCTGACAGAGATTAATTATTCAGCAGCAACAGACCAGACACTACAACCCACAAAGGCGACTATTTTTCCCCTCTATCAGAGTGTGCACTGAAAAATCATCAAGAACTGACATCCCAGTGCCGGTACCACGGACAGGGGAGACCATAATGCTGGTAGCCCTGCCAGCCACTGCCAAACAGGTAAGGGACACGTCCCCGAGGAGCTGTTTCCTTCTCCTCCCCACCCTACTCACACTGCCTCTCCTCCCGGCCCCTGCCCGGGGCAGCTCACCCATGAAGTTGTAGTTCCAGGACCCTTGTGCCGGGACCATGAAGAAGCCGAGGAAACGATCCGAGAGCAGCATCTGCACCCGCTCGTAGTGGGAGGGCAGGTAGCCCTTGGGGTTGTTCCCTTTGTCCGTGTTCTGCCTGCCCCACTCGTAGCCGCTCGGGGTCAGCTTGTAGGCAGTCAGCGTGCAGGAGCCTGGTGTAAAACTGAGGGAAGAGCAGAAAGAAGGGCAAATAATAATCGTCTGGAGCGAAGGAGGGAAACCAGAAATGAGCAAATGTTCCCTATCTGCCAGATTTTTAGTTTTGAGACCTCAATGTGTTCCCAAGCACGGCACCCCCAGGCCCCCCTGGGGCAGAAGCCTCCCTGCCTCACACCTGCAGGTGATGATGATGGTCTTCTCCCCATCCCAGGAGGGGTTGTCAGCCATGACCTTGGCATGGGTGGTGACATCCTGCGGCGAGAGCTGAGGGGACTCATTTGGTTGGGTGTGAATCCACCCCAGAGGTTCCATTTCCTGACAAAAAGTTTCAGAGAGAAACAAAAGGTGTTTAAAACCCAACCGTTTCGCAAAAAGCACACAGGGACCAAAATCTTTCCCTTCACCTGATCCCAGACCAGGTTGAGCCTTTCACAAGCCCCACATCAGGCCACAGAAGCCACCCCACCGCCTCGGGTCCCCGTTACGGGAGGCAGTGATCTTGCACCCACAGCAGGGGCAGACACACAACTCACCTTGAGATATTCGTGCTGGGGCAGCTGCCCCGGGAGATGCACAGTCTGGTGCGTTCCCCACTGGGGCACCATCACAATGCACCGGATCTCCTTCACTTGGGGGTTATCGGGAGGGCTCACACCATACAGGTAACCTGCAATCTAGGAACACAAACACCTGCCTCAGAACCCTCGAAGAAACCTCCCTGTAACCGTGTGAGGGTGGGTGGGCCCTGCCCTGGGTGCGTAAGCAGAGTTTCTCTCAGCCAGCAGGTTCTCACTAGAGGAGAACAGTGTAGTTTTGTTCAGCACTGAGTTTCCCTCTGCCAGGTCTGGGCGACAAGGAGCCATCAGGACTTGGCTAGAACTTGTGTGCTCAGCTGTAGTATCTGTCCAGAGCACAAAGGGCTTCACAGGGACAGCGCCAAGCAACCAGCCCTCCACCACAAGGTCAGAGAATCACAGAATCATTCAGGTTGGAAAAGACCCTCGGGATCACAGAGTCCAACCCTCAGCCGGACTCTGCAAGTTCTCCCTTACACCACATCCCCCAGAATCTCATCTAAACGACCCTTAAACACACTCAGGGATGGGGACTCCAGCCCCTCTCTGGGCAGCCCATTCCACTCTCTGACCACTCTTGCTGTGAAAATTTTTTTCCTAATGTCCAGCCTAAACCTTCCCTGTTGCAGTTTAAAGCCGTTCCCTCTTGTTCTGTCACTAATTCCCCGTGAGCAGAGCCCAGCCCCAGCCTCTCTGCAATGTCCTTTCAGGAGCTGCAGAGTGATGAGATCTCCCCTCAGCCTCCTCCTCCTCACACTGAACACCCCCAGCTCCTTCCCTGGCTCCTCACAGGATTTATTCCCCAGGCCCTTCCCCAGCCGCGTTGCCCTCCTCTGCCCTCACTCTAGCCCCTCGAGATCTCTCTCGTACTGAGGTGCCCCAAACTGGACACATGGCACGTGCCCCAGCAGCGGGCTACAACTGCCACAGGCTCACCACACACTCACCTGGGCTCGCAGATCCGAAATGCAGATGAATTTCTTCAACACGTTCTTGGGCAGAATGTAGGTGTAGCCTGTTTCCTTTATATCGTCTGATGAAACGTAAATGTGGTTTGTTCTCAGGTGGAGGTTGGCAGCAGAAATTGCTCTGTGAAGAGGAGAGGATTATGAGAGGGTGCACAGATCCCTTCCCGAGCACTCTGACCTTTCCCACCGTGCCACAGCCCTGCTGGCATCCCTACCTGACTCGCCACTCGGTCTTGGAGGAGAAAGTCTGGGTTTCGTAGTTGCTGGTTGTGGAGGTGATGATTTCATCCCCGTGTTTGTTAACAGTGCGGGTCTGTGTGGCTGTCAGCTGGGACTGCTCCTTGGTTTGCTTCTCAATTTCTGCAATCTGCTGTCTCTGCTGAGATGGGGCAGAGATCTCCATGCCCAGGATAATGTCTCGGATCTCTGACTGTGTGAGGGATGCAACGTTCACACTGAAAGAGAAAATCCACCCAAGTGAGACATTTCAAAATACATTCTGGACTCTTCTCCCCAAGGCACAAGCTCGTAACATCCACTTGGGGTGCTCTGAAAAAATGAAACAACTTTTTAGACAAGAGGAGGGACCAAATCACATCATGTGCAGATCAGAAAGGCTTGGTGGAGACATTTTTATGTGCCTTACTAAAAAGCAATTAATAATAATAACCAGTTCCCTACAAAACTGACAGTTCATTGCCAAAGGCCCTTTAAAAATCTACTCTCCACAAAGAGCACTCTGGCCATACTGCCAGAGCAGGAAGGGTGACTGCAGCTGGACAGTGGCTTACTTGTTCTTCTTGCCATAGTCAGCAAGGATGAGATCTTTCAGCTGCACCTCCACCTTGATCCACTCCTCATCTGTCAGGGTTGGCCAGATGTGGTGAGGCTCTGTTATGGTTGTCTTGTCTGGTTTCAGGATAACTTTGGCTCGATCATTATTCACATGTAGCGCCCGGAGAATCAGGATCAGACGAGAGAATGCCTTGGAGACAAAAAGACACAGCTAGTCAGAAAAAGGAAACCAAATAGATAAGGCCCTAGTTCAGCACTCCTCTGGGCACACCAATATTCCACGGGAGTGCCAGTGAAATCAGTCTGAAGGAAAATTGAGGCAGACCCAGAGCCATGTGCTCCCAAGCAACAAACTGGGATGGATTTCTGAGCCATTCTTGGCTCCCGCTTCATTTACCGATGGCAAAGCAAAATGCAGACTAGGCACACTGTGCTTACCGTGTAGGAAGAGATGGTTTTCAGCCAGTCATCATAGAGATTGAAGAGAACCATCTGGGGTTCAGTAGCCTTCAGGATGAGATCACCAAACTTTTCCACTTTCAGACAGGCCTGGAAGGGCAGCTGCAACTCTGAGCCTTTGATCACAATATTGGGGAAATCCAGCAAGTGCACCTGGAGTTTAATCGAGAAGAGGAATTAGCTCACAACTGCTGCAGAACATTGGTTCAGATCAAGTCCTTCACAGGAATGCAGGACTGTTCTGCAATCTCCCAAAGATTCTGTATGTCCTCAGAGAGCAGTATCTGCGTTGTTACCTCAAGTGGGTCCAACATGCCCTTCCGAGTCACGATGATCTGCTTGGGCTGCTCCTCCACAGGAAGTGACCGAATCAAGGCAGCCACTTCTTCAGCAGTCTTCCACTTGGCCAGCTACAGAAAGACAGCAGGGTTAGAGAAATCTCCCTCTGCCAACAGCAACGTCTCCACGTCTCCGGAAATTAAGAGAGACTCAAACCAAATCCTAAAAATACAACTGGAATTTATGGCTTGTTCCAGATCAGCGCCAAGGCCCAGCATTTTCTTCTTACTGATCACAGACAGCAGTTCCCGTTCCTGGAGTTCAGTTACTCCTGACTGGCTCAGAAAAAACAGCTCATTGGCTTTGCCACCTGAGAGGCTTCTCACCGCACTGGATGTACAGCCAAGCGCAGGTGATCTGCTGTAGCCGTAAGCACTGTGCTGTTTCTCAAGCCCTACTTGAAGATGTCAGCTCTTCACACGTCAGAGCCATAAAAACCCTGCAACATCAACACCTGCATTCTTTCACTTTTCCATCCCGTGCTGACGCTTGCCTCAGCATAGGTTACACGCTGGAAATTAGAGCTCCAGACTTGTTGAGAGGCAGGAAGATGAAGACCCTCACGATGTTTTCTGCTCAAGCCAAGTGCCCCAAGCGGAGCCCACCCCCAGCTCGCAGCCCGAGGCACGACAGGCAGCCAGGCCCTACCTGTCCTAAACGCTTCTGTCCTGCCCACACAGACGTATGGATGATCTTCAGGAAGAGCTGTCCAGTTCTGGG